TGCTTAAATTCTTTTTTGTCCCTTCATGATTTATGGGACGATTTTAAACTCAGATTTTAAAACAAGTTAAAGATATCTTCCCAGTAAATGTAAAGGTTTTCTTGGGTTGATTGTATGTTGTAGGGACAATTGGGAAAACCGGCTTACGAGTATATCTATACCACCGAAATGGTATTGAGATTGGTAACAAACTTGCGTACAGACCCCCTTCTATTTTTTGTTTTGACGTCTTTGGGATGTTTATTTTTTGTTTGATAAGTTTTATTTATTTGCGTTCTTTATACGTAGATTTTCCTGGTGATGCAAACTAAAAGTATCGAGTTAAAGACATTCCGAGTAGTCCTGTAGTTATACGAATAAAATTTTAGATAATATATATTTTTTAATCATTTCACCCCAAGTAAGGCGATAAAGCTACTAAGACGCAAGGAGCTACTGACAGTGAAAGAAACCCAGAAAATGAGGACAAATAGCAGTAGCAAGAACAGGATTCAAGGAGAAAACTGAAGATGACGATTGACGTTGCATTTATAGTTTTGGGGATCACAGTTCACTGGAAAGCAAGTAGCTGGAAGCGAGTCTCACAGCCGAGAAGTGCGCGTGAAGAAACTATTAGAATAGAACTTACGGTTACATTTATCAATTTCGGCAATCAAGCGATGAGACCTAACTGCCAATTTAGTTCTACGCTTAAATTCATCAATTTGAAGTATAATAAAGGAGAGAACATCATCAGAATAATTGGCATAAAAAAAGGGAAACTACGTTGAGGCGAAGTGGGAAAGCCGAGATGCCACAATGCAGATTCTTTGTATTCTCTCAAGAATATATAGAAGTAGATTATATGCAAGAAATATATATATATATATATATATATATATATATATATATATATATATATATATATATTACGATCACGATCACGAATCTAGTAACCCATTAAGGTCTAAGAGTCACCCCATGCACTGCAGCCGCCGTAGAAATGGCGTTTCTTGGTTAAGAAAGCCTGATGGATCTCAGTTCTCTCCAGTTTGTTTCGAATTCAGAATTTTCCTTCTCCTAGATATGCTGCCAAGCATGTTTAAAGGACTCAAGCTGTTTTTCTATTTACCCATAGCTGGGATATATATATATATATATCTATATATATATATATATATATATATATATATATTGCTAAAGAAAGGATTTTTTATTTATTAATCCGACAGATTTTTTTGCTTAAACGTTATTTTTAGCGGATACTCGTATTTGAATAGACGTTTATTTATTTATTTATTTAATTTCGTCTATTGGCCTGAATGTTGGAGAAATCTTATTAGAAAAATATGTTCTCTCCGGCAGTGCTTATTTTTCTAACATGTTTTGCTGAATATTCAGGCCGGTAGATGAAAATAAATAAATATTCTGTTTAATAAATAAACAAATACGATTATCCACTAAAAAATAACTTTTAAGAAATAATAATAATAATAATAATAATAATATATATATATATATATATATATATATATATATATATAAAAAAGATAGTATCATATAGAGTAATTTTTTTATTCATAGCAACGAGACACAGCAGATAATCAATTAATAGTTTTGCATAAATTTACTTTTTGTTTAGCTTAATTTCAGGAAGTATTGAATATAAAGAAGAGACTAGTGGAAGAAAAGAAAAGAAAACAAAACTTAGTGATATATGAGTCCAATGCAGAATGACATCGGACTATTTGATCGGAATGTGAGAGGGAGGTTTAAAGTGGGAGAGAGAGAGAGAGAGAGAGAGAGAGAGAGAGAGAGAGAGAGAGAGAGAGAAAGAGGCGCCTGGTAATGACAAAAGTCAGCTCTTGAAGGAGGCATTGGCCTGGCAGAACAGTTTCCGGGGAATCGAGAACGTACGATTAAAGCTTTATTAACCAGCCTGGATGGGGCAGAGTTTTAAACAAAGCGCGACAAAATGTCACCCATGCAAATAGTGACCCGACCTGACGTTGCTTATGGTCAGGAATTAAGAAGGAACCAAGTTTACCTGAATGGACGGACAAGTACATCTGTCAATTTTGAATGGAAAGGAAAAATTGATAGTTTTTAACTGTTCGACAAAATGTCACCCATGCAAATATTGACCCGATTTGACGTTGCTTAGGATCAGTAGAAACCAAGGTTAACTGAACGGACGGGCAAGTAAACAAAAATAAACATTGAAAAAGCAAACAAATACAGTGCAAAAAACAACAACAACGTCAAATGATTTTGACGAAGGAAGATTAAACAAAAATGTTTTCCTTGTCCCCTTTATTATCTTTAAAGTAATTAAATAAATTAACTTAGTTGTTAGAGACTTGAATCAGAAATCGTGAGGTCAACAGTTCAATATCCAGTGTTTTAGATAATCGTTCATTGGCGAAGGGTGTTTACATGCAAATCGGGAATAGAAAGGTCGGTTGGAAAATTTACGTGCAATAGAAGGGTAGGTTGGAAAATTAATTCAAAATTCATTTGTTTTCGTAATAAAAAAGGATGAAATAAATTATGAGGTTGGAAGGAAAAGACGTGTAAAAGAGTCGAATATAAAATAAAATGGGGGTCTGGAATAAAAGTGAGTAGGTTGGGAAAATCAAACTTTAAATAGACCCCGCTCAATCTCTTCCGGACGCGAGAGTATGCCTGTGAAGGGTACATTAGAATTGCGGTTCGTTTTCTTTCATTGGCAAGTATCCTTGCATAACGGGGAACATGGCCCATAGTAAATGAATCAAAACTATAATAATTTAAAAGCCATCTGACTATAAAAATACAGATAAGAGAATAGTTAATGGCAGGCACAAGACTATGTCCATTGATGACTCATTGACGATAACATTATTATTAATATTATTATTTTCTTCTCTCTTTCCGGATCATTTTTCGTTTTCAACCGGAGATCTAGAATTACGGCTGTTTTCAATGAAGAGGTGGGGCTTCAAAAAGATACCAAATCTGGCAGAATATTTGCTGTGCTAAGAAATGCAGACATCCGAAGTGTTGTGATATGAAGCGTTATTCCAATTTTCCTAAAGTAGTACTTTAATTTCCCTGGTATAGACCCCAACGCCTCAATGACTACTGGGGCAATTTTGTTGACTTAGAATCACCAGGAAAATTATTATAATTATAATTATTATTTTATTTCCTTTGATTTCTGGTGTATACTCATTTCTTTCCGGCTCCCGACCAGAGACCTAAGGTCAGAAATGGCAAAATGACATTTTCCACTGAGCAGTTTTTAAAAAAAATCGCACATATTTTATATAGATAAAGACCTTCGTGTTGGCTCTACTTTTTTGCATTTCTTTAAGCCATGGGCTACAAGGGATTCCTTTAATGTGTCTATTGGAATCTTTTCCAATCAATCCGAGGGCTCCAACTACAACTGCAATTGTTGATGTCCTCATGCGCCACATTTTTGAGATTTCGATTTCAAGTTCCTTGTATTTTGATAGTTTTTTGAAGATTTTCAAAGATACATTGCAGTCTGTAGGGACTGCCATATGTCAATAAGGAGGCATATTTTATCTTTGTGGGTCTCTAATCAAGATGTCAGGGCAATTAACTTTGATTGGTCTGTCTGTGTGTTCCATAAAATTGTTACCGGTCCTATCTCCGTAATCGGGTGTGGGTGGTGTTCATATCAATTTCTTGCACTTTCCTTTCCGTAAGTGTTGCAGAATTTCCAGTGCAGATATTTAACCACTCTGCCGTGCCGTTTTATATTCACTGGGTGCCAATACCGTGCAACCAGATACAAGATGGACAATTATTTCTGGATATTTATCACAGAATCTGCATTTTGGATTAACACAGTTTTTCAGTATGTGTGCTCTGAAATTTCTAGTTAGCAAGCATTTATCCCGTGTATCAAGGATAAAACCTTCGGTTTCAGCTTTTAACCCTGCACTACGTAACCACTGGTTATTATTATTATTATTATTATTATTATTATTATTATTATTATTATTATTATTATTTTCTTCGATTTCTGCTGTATATACATTTCCTTCCAGGTCTCAAACAGGGACCTAAGCTTATGGTATTTTCTACAGAGCATTTAGAAAAAAATAACATACTTTACATAAAGTAAGGTATGAGCTGTACTTGTGAGTACAATATTTTGTATTTCTTTAAGAACATGAGGCTACCAGGAACCCCTTCAATCAGTCTATCGGAACATGGGGCTACCAGGAACCCCTTCAATCAGTCTATCGGAACATTTAACCATCAAACCGATCAAATCAATCAAACTGGAATTATTGATGTCCTCATGTGCCACGTTATTTGAGATTTCCACTTCAAGATCCTTGTATTTTGAGAATTCTTTGAAGATCTTCAATGATACATTTTATTATTGTTATTATTATTATTATTCATAATAATAAAATTAATAATAACGATTAATGCATTAGTATTATCAAGACGGATTAAATTGTATTACATAATTTGAATTGTAAATCTTGTTCTAGTATTATGTGAGGTTGTCTATGTCTATGTTTCGAGCGAAATTTTCCTGTTCCTTAATACATTGCTTAACTTTCAGAAGGCGTCTTTCGCTATTGCAATGCGGCTTTAGCTTTCGGTGTTGCACTTTTCGTCCTCTGTTAAAAACTTCTTAGATATGTAAATTACGGCTTTAAACTTAAAATTACCCTTCTTCTACATTCGTTTCTAACCAAGGCTAAAGAGCTCGGTCTACCTTACTATTTAACGTAGGAAGAACAGAAAGATTCATGCCTTTTCCAAGGGTATTTGGGTGAAAGTGAATGTAACAAAACAGGTCAGGAATTCGAACTCGGCTCTCTGACTTGTCATCCCGAGCCGCTATTTATTACACCACTCGCACATCCGTTAGAAAAACTTGAGCTTATTCAGAAAACTTTGAAGTTTCTTATCTGTTTTTATTTAATTATTTGCAAGAGAAAAGGTGAGAAATTTTATTCCATAGAAAATAAAAATAAGAGTTTGTCACGATGTTTTTCTTTTCCATATCGTAAGCTAAAAATGGCGACTAAACCAGATCCCCCCACTGGCGTTTCTGTTGAAAAGGATGGAGTGCTAAACACCCAACTGGTTTATACCTGTCAAACCCAAGAAGGATGGATGGATCTTGCTGTAGGGTTAACAGCCACAAAGCACAATGGATTAGACTGGACGCCAGATCTATATATGCGGCTCGTTCGGTGATGAGACGACATTGCTGGGTAGAGGGCTTCCTAGACTGAAGTCAACGGCCAAAGCGGAAATTTCCCCTGATGGAATCAACTGTCACGTTTCAAACCTATCAAAGGACGAATGAAGCTTTGTGTAGTTCATGTAGCACAATGGATGATGAGACTGGCCTCCATAGCTATATATGCAGCTAGTTCGGTGACGAGACGGCATCGCGATGACGGAGGCTTCAGAGACAGAAGTAAAACACCAGGGCGTAGAGGTTCCCCTACCCAATGAAATCAATGGCCACGTGTCCGTGACCGACGCGAACCTTTAAGTTGGAGGTCATCGGCTGTTTTTTGACTTGCGTTGGGTAGAGGCTTCACTGGACTATTTGCTGAAGACACTCTACGCATGAATGAAATCCTTTTCAGCTTTTAAGATATGTGGAGGGAACTGGCCAGGTGCTCAGCTGACCAGCGACTCTACGACCACCCACGGTCACAGGACCGATGATGATGATGATGATGATGATGATGATGATGATGATGATGATGAAATTAAAACACGTGATCCGTTAGATAGTTTCATTCATGAAATAACGCTATAATCCGCTAGGCTATTGTTCTGGAAAATCTGATTATTTTGCGATTATAGTTAACGCCTATTTTCATAACATTCGTTTATTCTTTTGTTGGAAAATGTTTTATTTTTCCTTGTCAAAATCCGTCGTCATGTTGCATAACATTCTTGCGCGATCAACTCTATTCAGACGAAAAATTGGCGAGCCATCAAATTACTTAGAAAAAAAAAATGAAATCGTGATAAATATATAATAATTTTTTTTTATAACTTAATAGTTGCATTGTTTGATCATGCAGTAGATTTATGTGAAGTTAATTTTTTTAAAATCGAATTCACCCCATGCAAGGCAGTAAAACCACTTAGACAGAAGGGCTTACTGGATAGGAAAGAATTAAAAAATAGAAACCTTATTAAGGAGCGAGAACAATAGAAGTTTAATCGGGAAGACAGTAGATAACGACTGATATTGCATTTAAATTTTTGAAGTTGGCCGGAAAGAATGGAGTCGGAAGAGAGTCCCACAAGCCAGAAATGCGAGAACAGAACCTGTTAGCATAGAAATAATGGTTACATCTAGCCAGCTCAACTGTAAACTGATGAGACCTTGCCGGCAATCTAGTACTGCGTTGAAATTCACACAGTCTAGATACCATAGCAAAGAAATCACGTGAACAATTACCATAAAAGTATTTATAGAAATGTCACAGGGAAGGGACTTTACGGTAGTCGGAAAGGTACTAAAATTATGCCATATATATATATATATATATATATATATATATATATATATATATATATAATTCTGTATTTGGGCAGAATTCCTTTTTTTAATATTTATATAAGTTTCATTAAAGACAGCTGAGAAGGTACTGCGATGAAGCTTCCTATTCAATTTTTCTTTTGTCCAAGTAGTTTCTTTTCTGGACATAAAGTGTGTAAAACTATCCGAATGTTCTATATATCCGAGCACTTGAATAGCCGAAAGCGCTCGGATATATAAAAGATTTTTTAACCATTTAAAAAAAATGAATATGTAGATTTTTATATATGTTTATTTATCGTGATGGGAATGTTTATTCTATTTTCCAAACACTGCTAGCACGTTTTGGCCGTGTTCATAATTGATATTATGGTGTGTTTTTTTTTCTTCTTTTTTTCTTATTAATGTTTCCATTATTTTATATGTTGATAAAGTTATCCAAAAGTCTGTTGCAATGGGTCCTAATTGAGGTAATGGCCTCTCATCTCTCAGATCATAGCTCAAGATATATAAAAATATATTTATTTAAAAAACAAAGAAAAAAAAATCTTTGGTGATGGTTAATAGAATAGCCGAAAGCGTTCGTATAAATACAATGTACGGACAGTTTTTACACACTTTATGTCCAGAAACGAAAAATACTTGTACGAATGAATGAAAAAAAAAGAAGAAATGAATAAAAAGATTAATCACATTACCTTGTCCATCATTTTTAATAAAACCTGAATACATACTCAGGGTGCAATGGGTAAATTGACACCATTTTATATTTTTAATTTCGCGCATGCGCGTTGTTTGTTTTTGATTTTGTCGACTGCCCAGTATAGTAGGGACAATTGGGCAGTGTCTGTGAGAAAAAAAAGAGCATCATGACGCAATTCACTCCGCCAGAAATTTGGAACCAGCATGCTGTACTGTTTGGCATTTAGAGTGTTTGGGTGTCAATTTGAGGACAATGCAGAGGATTCGAAAAGACGTGGATGAGTCTAATGGTGATTACGAAGGTACAACCGTTCGGAAAAATCGTTCTCATAACAAAAAACACCCGAATTTCTTGGTGAGTACTCGGACTCACACGGAAGCCTACATCAATTGCCTTAAGGAGTTAGTGCTGTCCTGGGTCAATGCAAACAATTTCTGCGACCACATCACCGCTTATATCTAGTCACCTAACTCCCAAGACTGCAATACCCTTGATTATTATGTGTGTGTGGGGGGGCAGTTGAGAGAGAGACCAACAAAACTCCTTGTAACACAAAAGATGAACTGAAGGCAAGGATTATGACAGCATTTACCAACAAGGAGACCATCCAGAAGAGATACAGGAAATTCAAAAGTCGTCTGGAGGCCGTGGTTGAAGCCAAAGGCAATTTTATTGAATAAATATAGTCTTTAGTATTTCAAGATATTTTTGTGTAATTTTGGTAAATATATCTGTTAAAACGAAATATCAGTGTTATTTTCATTTTTGCGTATTTTAGACGACAATTTATCCATCGCATCCTATATATATATATATATATATATATATATATATATATATATATATATATATATATAATTTGTTCACTTATTTTAGGATTGTCTCTACAGTTTTTAGCGAAATATAATGTTTGCTATTGTTATTATATTGATAAAAAACGCTTCAATAACATATACTACGTACAATGGCAAAATGTTCTGGTAGGAATTGAAAATATTTCTCCCTTTCAGCAACTTAAATCTTGAAAATGGCCAACAGATGAGCTGGAAGCATATTCAGGAAACTTTAAAGTTTCTTATCTGTTTTTATTTAATTATTTGCAAGAGAAGAGATTAGACATTTTATTTTATGGAAAATAAAAATAAGAATTTGTCACGATTTTTTCTTTTCCATATGCCAAACAAAAAATGGCGAATAAACGAAATCCCCCACTGGCTTTTCTGTTGAAGAGGTGATCAGTAAAACAAACAGCCCAACAATATGTGTTTATCTATCTATCTATCTATCTATCTATCTATCTATCTATCTATCTATCTATCAAAACCAGAACACCCTGAATAACGGAAATGTTATCAAGAAACTTCGAAGTCGAGTAAAGTGCTGATATGTAAAAGTTAAGTAATCTTTTCATATCATATTTTTCACGCCTTATTTTTTAATATTGTTTTAATATTTTTAATATTGAGCACTATATATAAAAAATATCTGTTATATATACACAAACTCAACGACGAAATTATTTGCATCAATTTTAAATATTTTTATCCATTTTTCATAATCTAATTCCAGTATGATGCCAATTTTTTATATATAATAAGCACAATAAAAGGAATATAAAACTCAATTTTCAGAACAATAGTTTAACAAATTTGACAAACGAATTATGAAAAGACAAATTTATTCATACATTAGAAAATATCGTTTTAAATTGATTGACTCTTATAAGTAACTTACATAATTATTTTATCGATGAAACTTTCTAGACTATTTATTCAGTAAAATATTTGTGGTAATTCCAGCAAAGAACATCACGTAGTGCATAGAATGTCGCCATTGTCATTCTTACGTTAACAACACAATGGGGGAAGACAAAGGAGCTTAGCGTTGACTTGAGACAGAGAATTATTAACTTCAACAAGCAGGGAAACAGCGTTATTTCAAACCGGTTAGCTCTCCCTAGATCTACAGTATAGTCTATTATAAAGAAGTTTAAACAGTTTGGCACAACAGAGAATTTGCCTGAATGTGGAAGAAAACCCAAAATGTCACCGAGACCTGCACGAAAACTGTGTCGCGTTTAATATAAACCCAAGAGTTGTTTTGAAAAAAACATCGCCAAAAGTTTTGGAAACGATGGTCATCAGCGTAAATACTCGCGTAATACAACGTTCTTGTCACATTGTTGCTCGGTTTAATTTTGCTAAAACGTTCTTGGACAAAGAAAATTGCTTTTGAGAACAAGTACTATGGAGTACTGAAACAAAAATTAAGCTTTTTGAGCATGATGATGCACAGAAGATTTGGCGCAAGGCAGCTGAGTCTTTCCTCCCAAAGAACATAGTGGCAACATTAAAACATGGAGGCAGCTCAATGATGTTTTGGGGTTTGTTTTCGCTCAAGGCGGATTGGACAGTTAATTGCAATAAGAAGAATAATGAAGTCTGCAGACAACATCAAAATTCTGGATGAAAATCTACAACTATCAGGGCAAAATCTTCATCTAGGTCAGCGATTTAATTTCCAGCAAGATAATGATTCCAAACCTATATCCAAATCAGTGACTGCCTGGCTTCAGAAAAAGAAGATTGCAGTTCTGTCATGTCCTTCAATGAGTCCTGACTTGATTCCTTTTGAAAATCTATGGCAAGAATTGAAAGTTCGAATAAATCGTCGGTCACCAAAAAACCTTCAAGAATTAAAACGTGTAACCATTGAAGAATGGAAGAAAATCTCAGAAAAGACTTGTTCAAATCTCATCAGAAACCTTGAGAAAACGATTGCAGCAAGTTATAAAGATGAGAGCCCATGCTATTGACTATTAAAATTGTGAAAATTGTTCAGTTTTTTCTATTTTTGATAATGTACGAATAATTTTGTCTTTTCCTATTTTGTATAATTCGACTGTCAAATTTGTTGTATTTAACCAATTGTTCTGAAAATTAAGTTTTATATTCCTTTTTTTGTGCTTATTAACATAAAAAAGCTGGCATCATACGGGCACTGGATTCTGAGAAATGAATAAAAATATTCAGAATTGATAGGTGTACGGATAATTTTGTCGTTGACTTTATTGCGGGCTTAGTGGAAGAATCTCTGACTGACGCCAATTCAGCCGGGTTTCGATCCTAGCTAGAGGCAACCGGACGTCTAGCCACACTGAAGAGCTGTGATACAGCGAAACAGTCTGTCTGTGGATAACAATATATAGGCTCCTGAAAAATTAATTTTGGTTGAGCTTTCTGTGGGAGGAAGTGTGGGTTTGTGAACTCTTACGGCAATTATAGCAAGATTCTTCGGTAAAGCAAATCGAATCCTCCCAGTCACTGTGTGATTATCTAAAAATAAATACGCTAAAATTCCCCTTCGTCCCTGCCGTGCGCCGACGGCTTAGTGGTAGAATCTCCGACTGAGCTAGAAGCAACCGGACGTCTAGTCACACTGATGAGCTGAGATACAGCGAAACAGTCTGTCTGTGGATGACAATATATATATATATATATATATATATATATTTATTTGGATAGATGTGAGTTTTCTGACCCTGGGTTTCACGCTTTATATATCGTCAGACAAACTGATTAATGTTGATTAAAGTGTGAAATGTAGGGTCATAAACTCAATATGTTAGCTCTATCTCTGATATTGAGCGCTTTCTAATAAGTACCGTGCATATAATATATAAATAATTATACATATATATATTTATTTATATTTATATACACTTTTCACACACACACACACACACACACACACACACACACACACAAATACACACATATATATATATATATATATATATATATATAAATTAATTGATTTAAAATATTTTTTTTTCCGGACACAATAATCTTCTTGCATGTTTCAAAAATAGAAGCTAAAAAACTGAATTTAATTTTGCAATTAAATTAAAAGCATTAGTTCCATTTCATCCTCAAGCGAAGGAAAAATAAAAATATCTATAAAACACCGGATTATATATATTACTGTTTAAATATATATATATATATATATATATATATATATATATTTTATAGCAGAGATTCCAAAGAGAGAGAGAGAGAGAGAGAGAGAGAGAGAAGAGAAATGAGAGCAAGGAAGGGAGGATAACATGTATTAGAAAAATATATTTGCTGAGTTTATATTGATAAATATTTATGTGTATATTCACATACAAACAGAGAACATTTTATAAGTTTGATCTGGATATGTGGCAACATATACACAAACTGTAACTTTATAATTAAAAAAAATGACAATTGACAATATATTGTTTCCATAAATTTTCAATAAAATATATTCAAATGAATTTTTTACCGCTCAAATATATTATTTATATTAAACAAATTTCTCAAAAAAACACACACACATATATATATATTGTGTGTGTTTGTCTTATCAAAAACTTAATTTGATGATAAAATGTGCAAGATCGGCATCGCCTTAAAGGTCAGTTCATTATAAATAGCGTAATTCAACTTTAAGCGACCTTATTTCAAATTTTGGTTAGTTGAAGGACTGTTTTGAAGTTTATTTCTCTCTTTCTTTTCCTTTCATACGATTTCTTTTATCTCTTCGATATCACCTCTTTCGGGTAGGCAGGATCGAACCCGGTCAGTACTTAGGTGAGCGACCGTTTGAGAATACCAGCTGCTGGAATTGACCTCCTACAATCCGAAGTGTGTTTCGGCTTTAAATAACCCATCGACGTTTGACAAACCGTAAAAAAAAAAACAATCAATCAATCAATCAATCAGTCAATCTTCAGGTCTTTCTAAATGAAGAAGACTCACTCGAAAACAGTTTTGCAAATATAGTCGCTGTCAAATGCATATATATATATATATATATATATATATGTATATATATTTTTGTTGTCTGTGTGTGTATGCATATATATATATTTATATATATATATATATATATGTTTATATCAAATATTTTAATATATATATATATATATATATATATATATATATATATATATATATATATATATATATATAAAAGTTTTTTTTGAAATATAAATTTGATGCGATATATTTGTTTCATGCTAGATGCAATCGTCAGGTCGCGATTTATTTGAAATAGTCGAGAAAAAATACAAATTACAAGACGATTGCGTCCAGCACGAAACAAAATATATCACCTCTGAGTGTTGACTTCCAATGTTCAATTTTTATTTATATTTATATAAATATCTATCTCTGATATTGTTTTTCTCCTATAAATATAGCACACCTTAAAAATATATTTCTTCATATATATATATATATATATATATAAGTTTTAAAACGACACATGGTTGCGCATATATTTTCCAGTTCCACACGGTTCATATATGTTTATGTTTGTGTGAGCTGCAATATTTAAACGTGCGATGTATGTTTGTCTACGTTGGTTTATGTGGCGTTTAAATAATGTCATTTTTAGGAAATTTTTGAACCACTGCGACAAAAAGTTAAAATGATAATCTCCGTCCATTTTCCTTTTTGGGAAATTCCTTGCACTCTATGATTTTCTTTATTTGTGGTCCGAGGAAGACACGTTTTTGATCTTTGCCGCAGACAGTTTAGGGAAGAAGTTTTGGTAAAAAAAAAAAGAAACTTGGTAAAACCACCTTGAAGGCCGACTAGGAAGGCCGCCATTTTAAATTCTCCAATAACCTCGCAACCGCACTTTTCATATTTCAAGGCATCAAGCAAGATCTTCACACTGCAGTTATCATCTTTGAGCTGCACAGAGTGAACTAGGGGAAGAGATGGATACATGTTTTCGTTATGAAACAGCATGACTTTGATGCTCCTGGATGAGCTGCCGATGAAGAGGCACCACTTGCTAGGGTTACAGGCGATTCCAATTGCCTCGAATAGACCGGACACATTGTGACAGAAGCAAAGCCCATCCTGACGGGTGAAGAAGCTTGAAAAAACACTGGTGACGCTTCCTCTGATCTGTGACCTGCAGACTTTCATGAAACACATTCCAATGCTTGAGTCTCACATCAAAAATTTGGCATTGGACTTTGCTTTCTTGGCAGAAACAATTAAGAAATAGCACTTACTGACCAAATATATATACTTATATATATATATATATATATATATATATATATAAAAAACTGTTATTAACAAAAAACAAGATTGCGTGCACCAAAATAATTTCTTCCACCGTTACATTATTTTATAAAGAATTAAGCAACATTAACAAATTGATAGCACAAAATAGCATAAAATATATGGAAATATTTAAATAATAATATAAAATAATATAAAATAATAATATAAAATAATAAAAAAATTATTAATATTAATAATATTATTAACAGTTATCGATGTTAATTATTAATATTATTAATAATTATTATTAATAATAATAATGAAATTATTATAAAATAATAATATAAAACAATAATAATATAAAATAATAATAATATAAATAATATAAATATGTAAATATATAAAAAATATATAAAATATTAACAAATCAATATATAAAATAGCTAAAAACACATGATAACCTGCACCAAAACAATTTCTTCCTCCGTTACAATATTTTATAAAGAATTAAGCAGCATAAAATAAACATTTATCAGCCTCAATTGAAACAAATATGTTTCCGACGAACAATTAAAATTAACCTATAAAATTTCAGAAAGACTAACACAAGAAAAAATCCTGGTATAGACAAAAATAAACACACCAGTAACTTCTTCTGTCATATAGTCTCGAACTATAAACATGATAAAAATGATATTAAAAATATAAATCGCTGGTATAAATAGGAGTAGATAGGTTCGCCTATCGCCCGGTTCACATTCCTCTCCGATCTTTTGAACAGGAGTAGAGGTTTTCCATTGTTTTTTGTTCTTGTTTTTTTTTTAGGACTAGGTTTCCAGTTCCTTCTAAAGTTTTCTTATTTTCTTTCACTTCTGGTAACCCTTTGTCTCTTAGTGACATTGTCGCCTTGCTTGAGTTGAATTGATTAAAAAAAGAATTAAAAAAAACAACAAAAAAAAAAAAAATATATATATATATATATCGCTTAACTGGATACGTTGTCTAATTCGCCGTAAAAAGAGCATACCATGTGGAGAAAATGCCCCAAACTTGATAAAAACTAAGTTTTATCATCAAAATGTTTATGTTGTTATTAAGAGGAAAGACCAGCGTATTTTTTAGTTATTTAATTAAATGTTGAATACTTTCTAGCACGTTCGAAATTTTGATTAAAAATCTTGTTGTTTTTGCGTCAGAGGAGATTAGAACAGGAAATTTTAGTGTCTTTTTTCGGTAGAAAAAACACGCACACACACACATTCATCTTCAAATTATTGCAAATCAAATGTCGGATTTTAAAGTTTCAGGATTGATTCGCAAACGAATGAAATTATTTTTCAAATTTTTTTTTTAGAAAATCTTGATGAATTTTATTTTTTGCATCTTTTACACACCACTTATTTAATTTTTATGAAATTTCGAGAAATAAAATGTTCATTCTCTTAGTATTTATTTAAAAGCAGAACTACTTGGAGAATTTAAATCATCAACTTTTTTTTTTTTCACAACAAAAACACCATTTGCCGAAAATCTGTTCTGAATCGTAAAATACAAAATGCAATAAAACTAGGACATTATTTAATTACAAAGCTTTTAATTGCTTTTATAAATAAGATATATTAAGGACACTATTGTCTTAAGAAAAAGATTTTGCGATAAATAATGAATTTTACAAGAATTGTTTTCAGGTTTTTAAAAAAATTTAATTAGAAAAATTTATTAAGTATTAATTTTTTAAATTTTGTATTAATTTCACCCTTTTAGGTCATATTATTCTTAAGTAAAACTATATTTACTAATCATAAATGGAAAAGCATGATACAAATCATCAAACAGCAATATTTTAAAAAATAATTTTGAATTTTTTTGTATGTGTATAAAAGTTCCGATTTATGAAGATACAGTAGTTCATACACGACATTATCAGAAAACAAGAGTTGATAAACTATAAAAAATTTAAATCCAAAGTATCTAAAATATACTAAAATATTAGATTACGGAGAATAATTTTCTAATTTTTTAAGATTACTGAGTACTTAAAAATTATATAAAAAATGGCTCTCACGTTATATTCTTTAATTATTTTTTTACAGATAAAGCCTCAGTAGAAAAACATTAAATGAACGTCCATCTGTCATCAAGCTGTTAACAAGCAGTCAATATCTTAAATAAACAGCTACAGCTGTGTTAAAAATGCATTTCTGCGATATTTGAAACTTAAGGCTAATAATATTTGTTTTAAATCAAAGTGATTATATTTTAAATCAGCTAATATTCCTCAAATAATGTTTCCGAAAAATATATTTTATTTTTGGAAGATTTTTAATAAAGAGAATTACATTGTGATGACATCAACACTCCCTGTTGTAGTTGGAGCCCTCGAATTGGTTGGAAAAGATTCCAGTAGACTCATTGAAGCGATTCCTCGAATCCCATACCTTAAAGAAATAAAAAAAATTGTTCTGACGCATACAGCCCACACCTTACGAAGAGCTTTATCTATGTAAAATATGTGTGTGTGTATGTGGGTTTAATTGGTCAGTGGGAAATGTCATGATGCCATTTCTGACCTTAGGTCTCTGAGCGGAAAGAAATGCGTACACAGCAGAAATCAAAGGAAATAAAACAATAATAACAATAGATTCTGTGATAAATATCCAGAAACAATTGATCATCTTGTATCAGGTTTCACAGTGCTGGCATGATATAGTAATCCAATATTTGCGCTGAAAAATATGCGCTGGAAGAGAAACTGGTGTGAACATCACACAGACCCGTTTACAGAGATAGGACAAGTAACAATTAGATGGGACTTTACAATACACACAATCAAGGCTAATAGCTCAGAAATCGTGAACAAAAACCACAAGAAGAGAATATGCTTTCTTACTGACACGGTAATCCCTTGTAGATTGTAATGTATCTTTGAAGATCTTCAAAAAAACAATTAGAATACTTAAAGTGGAAATTTAAAAATATAGCAGACGTCAATAATTTCAGTTGTAGTTGTAGCCCTCGGATTGATTGGAAAATGTTCCGCTAGACTCAGTGAAGGGATCTTTGGTAGCCCAAGCCCTAAAGAATACAAAAAAAAAGCACTCACAAGTACAGCTGGCTCATTACGAAGAGCTTTATGTAAAATGCATGTAATCTTAGGTTTTTTTTTTGTTTTTTTTTACAAAAAATAATCAGTGGAAAATATCATGGTGCCATTTCTGACCTTAGGTCTCTGGTTGGGACCTGGAAGGAAATGTGTATACAACAGAAATCAAAGGAAAATAATAATAAAATGATAATGAGTTCTCATTAACTACTTTTGACAGATGCACGAAGATTGGATGGGGATCTGGGAGGGGGGATATTATTGATCCATCTTGTATCTGTGACTGCAGAAAAGAAACAATATTAGGAGAAACGGCGTTACAAGTTAAAAAAAAAAAGAATTTGTGGTCAGATTTTCAGTTGGCAGAGATAATTGCTATGCCTGAGAGGTGGCGTTGATTAAAAATGGTTTTCTAAAGGGAAAAACAGAATCACTCATATTTGCAGCATACCAGAATGAATACAATCAGGGCCAGGATAGACAAATCACAAAAAAGAAAGCAAATTCAGGATGTATGGGTCGAAGGTGATGAGACAGTTAATCAAACACTCGGTGAATGTCTGAAGGTAGCACGGAAGGATTACAAGCGACGACATGATTGGATTGGTAAGAGAATTATCCCATAAGAATTATGCCACAAGATTGGCTTCAGTATGAAATAGAACATTTATATATATTTGGCTTCAATGTTAAAGAGAACCTTCATTCACACACACACACACACGCACACACACACACACACACACACACACACACACATATATATATATATATATATAGAGAGAGAGAGAGAGAGAGTTTGTAAAGTCTCTTTAGAATTTAAAAATTATATTACAAAAGCAATTGATGAGATATCTTAATCAGATTCGTTCTATGTACTTAGTAGTTATCAAAATCTTTAATCAGATTGCATTTGTGCATTTCAGGTAGCCTGTTGAGGAAAGAGGTACAGTTAAATGAACCCCTAACATTTCCAGACCGGTGGATAGAAAGGCATGGTCCAGTTTCCTGGCCATCTCGTTCACTAAATATCATTCCACTGGGGTTATATTAAAGATATCGTGTATCGATCAAAGATATCGGACATCACTGATCTAAAACAAAAGATCACTGATACCATTGCCACCATTGATGAGGTTATGCTACAGGGAACATGGCAAGAAATCGAGTACCGTCTTGATGTGCTTCGTGCAACTAATGGTACCCAGATGGGGGTGGATTAAATTAGTTTAAAAAAAACTTCAATGTCTTCTCATTTTGTAACAATTTCCACATATTTGTCTGTTCATTTGCTTTTGTTATAATTTTTTTTTAATTGTAAAGAGACTTTATGGACACACAGTATATTAATAATGGATATTTAGGTAGCAACTTTTCTTTTAAATATCTTTCGATGAGTATGAGAGACAAGGAAAATTTGATGAATTTTTTATTTAGTTTTTACATTTTTCCATTTTTCCGTTTGGTGGAAGTCAGGGAGTGCAAATATTGTCCATTCTCCCAAGCAGTTACGGTCACTTCTTTAGCACTTTTCAAGGGTGGGGGTGTAGCTGTTTTTAGGTATTATTTCTTTCTTTTCATGTTTGTCTGTTTAAGATGTAGTTTTTGGGTTGTTTTAATAGTAGTAGTATTTATTGCGTGCTTCGCGATTTGAGCGTGGCTAGAATTCGAGTTGGCATCTTTCTCTCTCTCTCTCTCTTTCTATCTCTCTCTCTCTTTCTATCTCTCTCTCTCTCTCTCTATATATATATATATATACATATATATATATATATACTCTATTGTCTGTGTCGCTTCAGGACGGGTGATCATAGCTTTCTACATATTCATGTCCTTGCTAACTTAAGACAATTATTGTCCCCTTACTCTCCTTCCCAGTTCATGTTCTATCAATCTTGTTAGGTTACTCACTGTTTCTCTATGTCCATCTGGCCTTTAGCGCGTTTTGTGAGTGTCATATTCTCCAAGACTTCTTTCCTCATTATGCGTTTCAATACATCCAAAACGCGTATGTTAACACCTATATTTATGCATATATACCGTGATAAATTTTCAGTGTCATTGTAGCCACCCCCTCTCTCTCCCCTTTTCTCTTTCTCACACACATACAAATACATGTATGTATGTATGTATGTATGTATGTATGTTTATGTGTCTCAGATGTGAACAATGAAAAGTAAGGAAATGATAGTCATATTGGTAAGTAAATAAACAGGTAAATAGATTCTAATATAATTGGATAATTTTTGAAAGAAAGAAAGAAAAAAGAAAGAAATAGGCAGGGAAAAAGAAAGAAAGAAAGAAAGAAATAGACAAAGAGACAGAAAGAAACATAGAAAAAAAGAAGAGCCAGGTAGAAAGAACAAAAGAAATAAACAGAAAGAAGAAAAAAAGAAGGAAACTAACTGAAAGAAAAATAGAGAAAAGAAAGCGACAGACAGAAATAAAGGAAAAAAAAGGAAGAAACAAATAAACAGAAAGAAATAAAGAAAGAAGGAAAACAAAAGAAAGAACTTGACAGAAAGAAAAAAAGAAACAGAAAGAAAAAAAGAAACAAAGGCATACAACAATAAAAAAAAGGAAAGAGACGGAAAGAAAGAAAAAAGAAAGAAAAAAGAGAAAGACTGAAAAGTAGAAATAGAAAGAAATAGACAGAAAGAAATAGACAGAAAGAAATAGACAGAATGAAAGAATGAAACTGACAGACAAAAAGAAATGAGACAAACAACCAGGAGGAAAGAAGAAAAACAATAGTCAGGCAGAAAGAAAAAGTAGGAGAAAGAAGAAAAAAAAAGAAAGACGGATAGAAAGAAAGAAATAGACAGAAAGAGACAGACTGGTAGAAAAAGGCAAAAAGAAAGAAAGCAAAGAAGAAATATAGAGGATGAAAGAAAGGACTAAAGAAAAATATACCGACAGACAAAATAAGTAAAAAAAGAAAGAAAGAAAGATAGAAAGAAATAAAGAAAGAAATAGACAGACAGACAAAAAGAAAGAAAGCATGATTAAGCTATTGATAGATTGGTGATTGGTCAATAGGTTAAAACTGTACGAAACCGTCTGTGATAGAAATGAACAACAGCAGAGAGAAAATGAAAGAATTGTGGATATGAACAAAAAAAGAAATGAAACGAGTTAGACAGAAAAGAAGAGGAAACATGAAGAAACAGCTGATAGAATCTATCAAATATTTTTCAATGCTTTCATTCATTCATTCATTCGTTCTTTCTTTCTTTCTTTCCCCATTTCAATTTTTATTGAATATATAAGCACACGAATAAAAAAAATCTTTTGGATTGCATTGTTATGCGTTGTTCCTTGATCGGTCAGCAACAACGACTTACAGCAAAGAATAGAAAGTACATCTAAACAACACACCAAGACTTATAGACTCATATGCGTCTGCAACTAAGGGACCATTGATTTACGACTCCGAAAGAAAGTCATGGTGACATTTGCTCTGGGTGTATATTCTTCCTCTTGTAGCAGTCGCTTACACCCCTCTTTGGTCAGACGCACAAGCGCTAAAAAAGCCATTCGCTGTAGCTATCCTTTTCAGCATGTCTTCTCTTTCTATGAGCCATGTCCCCTCAGGATGTTGGCGATCATAGCTTTCCACAATTTCCTGTCCTTTGTAGCTCTTAATAAATTTTGCCTTTTCATTATTTCTCTCAAACCCTGTTCCGCCATCTATTTACTCAAACTCATAAAGTATGCTATGCGCTGTTTTCCTCTTGCCCTCAATCTGTCCTGTGAGTATCAGATTTTCCAAGCCTTCCTTCCTCATTACGTGCCCCAAAAATTTCAACTGTCTTTTCCTGAGGATAAGTAGAAGTTTAATTTTTGTTTAACGTTTTCTCTAAAACCTCATCGCTCCTCAGTTGGTATCCTCAGCATCCTTCAGTAGAACCATATTGCTGTTGCTTCAAGTCTCTTCTTTATCTTTGATGATATTGTCCAGCATTCACTGCCATATAGGAGGACAGATATCTCGTAGCTATTTTCTTCTAACGAAGTTTTTCCGTCTCTTAAGAGCACCATTTGTGGTTTGATCTGGCTCTTGTAAGGTATAGTCTTCTTTTCTCCCCTCTAGTGACGGAGATGGCTGTGAAGGCCCAGACTACTGCTGAAGAGCAGGAGTCACAGAGCAGTGTGGGTGGTGGACGCGGCTGGGTGAGTCGGGCTCTCCTGACAGCACATCGCAGATGCACTTCATGTTGACGGTTGGCTCTAAAGTCTCGCCTCCCCCGGGATGGTCCTACGCCTATGACATACTCTTAACACTAAGTTGATGTAAAGAAGAGATGGGTTCATAACTTTTCCAAGGGTCTTTCTACGAAAGCGAATGAAACGCCCTCAGGTTGAATTTGAACGCGGCACGCCAACTCCACATCTGCTACCTTGCACGTATATCGTCTGTGATTCATTTAAATGTGTGTGACATCTGGCGAAAAACTCTGACTTTTTTAAACAAATTAACAGACTGAGAATTCCGCTTCAATTCAGTAGCAAAATAGTTACGAAGCCAGAAATTGTTATTTTGTTGACTCCAATGATTTCTGGGTACACCAAAGTGGTGGCCTTGTGCCAGACTATGTTTAAGGATTACCCACAAGTTATACGCCTTGCTCGCAGACAATTACTACCATAGTGTATTCGCGAAATGCGCTGTATCTGTTGTCTTGTATCGAAAGAGGCTAACATCACTAAGTATATACAACCATATTCAAACAAGTTAGGCGCCTCAGTTCAGACTATTCTTATTGTAGTGTAAATTCAATCATCTCAAGGTACACGACACTTTTTATTCGGGTCGGTAGTCAGTTAAGTTTAGAAAAAAAAACTTTGTCTTGATTTATACTATGAAGGCTTGCCCCTACTTGGACGAGATGTGACACAAGGTCTTTTTTTAGGTGGGGACCCAGGCGCGTACTCCCGGGACAAGAACAAAAATTGCCCTCAGCCCTCGCAATCGTCGACTCCGCTGGCCTCGGTGCGAGCACCGATTCCTCCCTCTTGTGCCTCGGGCAGCTGTTCCCCAGGGCTGGGCACCTCTTCAGTATTATTTTCCTCAGTTGCCCCTCTGTCCTTTGACAGAGAAGTCCCTGGGCGTACTCTGCCCAAAGACAGAGATGTAACTGAGAGATGATAAGTAAACGTGACCTTACTCAAAAAGAAGCAGGCTTGGCACGATTTCATTTGGACTAATGTCTTCGTCTTTGCAGGCAAGATCATTTTGCTTAGGCTGATATGATCTCTGTCCTTCATAACGTTTTCAAAATTTATAGTATGAAGTAGTGTCATGATTTCATCAAATATTTGGACTAATATCCCCATCTTTGTAGTCATAGCCGTTTTTTCAGGCCGACATACACTTCGTTCTCCCTAACATTTCCTTATTTTTCTGTATGAAGTAGTGTCATCATTTCATTGAATATTATTTCTCTTAATGATCATTTCTTAACGATCGATGTAATCTCTGTCCTTCCTATCTCTATCTATTATTATAGTGTCATCATTTCATTGAATATTATTTCTCGTCATAATCATTTCGTTGTGATCGATGTGATCTCTGTGCTTCCTATCTCTATCTATTATTATAGTATAAAGTAATATGATTTTCTTCTCAAATTTGTGACTTTATTTTTCCATTTTTGTAGTTTCCTTTCTTTTTGACCAATATGATCTCTATCCTTCCTACTCTTTTTTAATTTATCGTATGATGCTTTATAAGGTAAAGATATAACAAATATTTGGAATTTTGTAAAACACCTCAATTATTTATATGCATTTTAAATATGCCATGCCCAACCATACCTCAGGCAATTATTATTGAACATAGAATCTTTTTTTTATTTCTTTTCTGGGGCTTGCAAGAACTTCATGGGAAAGATAGTGCAGTGGTTTCTAATTACATTCTCCACAGTTTTAAATTCAAAGTTTTCATTTTTTTAGTTTGGTTTCCACCCAATGTTAGAAAACTTTGCTCATTCTGCTATTTAACCGATAGCTTGGGCTTAGGAGAAGAATAGATGTATTTATTCCTTTGGTAAAGCATTTGTATATAAATGAAAGAATTGAAACTCGGCTTTCCGAATACTTTGAAAGCAGCACGAATTTGTGTGTCACCATTTTCATATTACTCGTCATTACTGAAGGTATACTCTTTGTTGTTTGTTTTTTTTTTATCCATGTGCGGCCACAGTAGAAGTGGTGTTTCTTGTGTAAGATAGCCTGATGGCCGGTTTTGAAGTCAGAGTTTTTTCTTTTCCAAGATTATAGAACCCAGTCTGTCCTGCTATTTACCCATAGCTGGAGGGAGAATGTTATTAGCACGTGAGTGAATGTAATGGATCCGACTGGAATTCGAACACGACTCTCCGATTCCTCAACTCGAGCCGCTATCCATTACTCCACCGTGCCTATTATTTCAAACGTTACTTTGTAGCAAATAATGTGTGTATGACTCAATTCAGCTGCTGATAATATTTACGAAATGTTTTCATTCGAACGGTTTATCACTGATGAGAAAAGACAACTTTGAAAGCGACAAGAATTTTTATTCAGCCATGTTAATTTCCCTCGTGGCTAGTCTCTTTTGACCATTACCAGGTAGGAAATGGAGGATTTAAGATGCTGAAAATGTTTAAGAAGCGTTAACCTCGAAGTCCGCATGACGCTTTTAGATCCTTTGGTAATGAAAGATCATTATTTAAAACAATAACTATTTAAGATAGAAATTCTTCTAACTCTGACTCGAAGATGAAAAATCCTTCCTCCCTTGAGCCAACTACAGCTAAAACAAAACCAACTAGTAACGTTCCACTATCACCGAGCAAACCTTTGACTTCCACCTATCATGATAAATGGGTCTTCTTTCAGGGAAAATACTTTGCTTTGAAAGTCTACTGGGACTCAAGATCTCTCTAGCCCTTAAGAGGAACTCATATATATGATCTATTGTTAAAGATACTGGGAAAATGGTCTATTCATTGTGCCGCCCCAGTAAGTATCTGACACCAACCTGCTATACTTTACAAGAGCCAGATCAAACCACAAATGGTGTATTTTTGCCATATTTTGGTTGGAGCTGCCTAAGGATCACTTGCATGTCTTAAGTTCAAAAGCATCTCCGCGTCCTTGTGGGTGATGAATTATTTTCTATCCTACCACATATTTCACACAGACGAAACATCACAAGACTCTCACTGTTTTATCGCTATTTCCATGGTAAGTGTTTTGACGAGCTACATTCTTTATTCCCACCAGACTTGAACTTTACAACTGGGACCCGTCATACCACGTACAGAAAGATGAATCATCCTTATTCCCTTCGTATTCCATTAGAAAAGAGGAAGTTCCACTAGGACAGGTTTTTCCTTAAGAACCGTTGTTTTGATCTCTTAAAGTTTAGGGTTAACCGTTATCTTTTCTTCATAACTCCATGAACTTCACATTTTGCTTTACTTACGGCCATACAACACCACACAATAACCCTCTAGCTTGAGTGGCTCTTGTTCCTTCTATTGGGTGAACATGAGTATATATATGAAATAGAATATGAGTATATAAATATACTTTTATCATGTCTATCTGTTAGCAGTTGCAAAAATGCTATTGACATACAAAGGCTTTTTTTATGTTTTGTAAGTTGATAACTAAAAACTACTTTGCTTCAATCATAAATTCACAGGCTTCTTGTTTTCCTTTTTATGAAAAGCACTTTATCTTATGTATTACAGGAATAATTTATTTTCATGCTGAATTGCTAACATAATTTTGATACTTGCGTTCACAGCAGTCCTATTTACGTTTGATGTATTATATTGCCCTACCTTGAGCACTATAGCGAGAAAATATTAAACCATATGGAAAAGAATTCATTGATAATTATGAATAAAGAATAATGGAATGATGGAATAACGGAATCACAAAAACTATAAAATCGAACAAAATGAAATGAAAGTTTCTAAAGTGAACAACTTCAATCGTCCACTGCAGCAGCAAAAAAAAAGCCTCTTTGTGAATTCATTTGTTCCGTCGAGACATCAAAGTGATAAAAAATTGGATTCCTACAAAGATCGAATTAACTCTCATCTTTACCAATAAAGGAAACAGATCCGATCGATAAGAAATCGATTGGAATTAAAAAAAAAAAATTGTTACGCTGATGAAATAGTTTAGCGATGGTCAATCACATAAAAAAAGAAAGCAAGAAGTAAATGTCTATAGGCCTACAGGAAATGACTTGTCAATGTTGCCGCCATTTAGTTGAAGATTTCCCGTCATCCTCTTCTGAATAATGGCAAATAAATTTTCTTTTCTTTCATTTTTGAGGGAGTTGGAATGGAAGAGAGAGAACGTTATTATTATTATTATGTTTTCTTATTTTATATTTTATCTTATATTTACCCTGAGATAAAATATTGCACCTCGACTCGCCCCACCCCCCCCCCCAAAAAAAAAAAAAAAAAAAATGTCAAAAGAACACTTTAGCAGCTGCTCTGTCGGGATTGGCTCATTTGGCGCCGAAGAGTTATCGATCTATGCTTACTTTTTTTGCTTTTCTCCTCTTCCGCATCGCGCATACACGCGTGAGCGTGCGTACAAACATACACACGCACTGTGAAATTAACTGAAACATATTCTTTATTATAATATAAATAAAATTTCAAAAGAACGGTGATTTCGGGGAAAATGTCTAAATAATCAATATTCGATTTGCAAATGATAATCACAGGTGATCAATAATTAATATTTTGGAATTTGGAGCGGAAAAAATCATGTAACTAACTCTCTCTGAGCACTGTGTTATATATACATTTATCTCTAGTAAGGTCTTTTCACTGTTATGCCACGATGATATACAAGGAAAAATACTAGTTGAGAATAATGTAAATACTTCTCCCTATATTAAGTATGCTCCTCCGCCTTCTCGGATTCAGTCGTAGGGTCACTGCGCAGCTGAACACCTAAGTAGCTTTTTGACTGGAATTCGAACTCGGCTCTCCAATTCTTGTATACGAGCCGTTATCCATTATATAGTGACTCGGACTGAGTAATCGGAGGGTTGAGTTCGAATATGTATTTATGGCAATCCGTACCGTCATAGAGATAGAAAGGCTTCAAAATTGACATACATTACAATTATTCAACGAGAAAATGTGTCGATTATTTTTTTAAATGAACAAGTAATAATCAAATTCACTACTGATAGGATGTCAACTTTGATTTTCGTAATTTCTTACTCGTCAGTCGATAAGAATGATTGTATGGATTACAGGAGTTTATTTTATGATAAACTCTTACGCTAACTTTCAAATCAATTTATTTACGCTTATAACTGTCCCTTTCATGAGTTCTGTATGACAACTGAAAAGCCAATTAATCATTATGTTATATATACCAGGTGTAACAGCAAAATTATCCAAATCGTGTAACACCAAAATTGTACAACTGTTAGATTAAGCTCTGAACCGTTGTATCTTAGAAATGATTAAAGATATCTTACTGGAATATCTTCGAGGATTTTATAACACTATTGGACTCTACTATGAAGAAGAAGAATGTATTTAGCTCTAAGTTAAAATGAAGATCCCTCCTGCTGTTTTGTCCTCGTGATCCAGTTTTCCTCGCTACCATTCTCTCTTACGGTGGAGTAATGAATAGCGGCTCGAATTGAGGAATCGGAGAGCCGAGTTTGAAATCTAGTTAGATCCATTACATTCACTTACGTGCTAATACCCTTGGGAAAGGTGTGAATCCTCTTTTGCCCCCAGCTATGGGTAAATAGCAGAACAGACCGGGTTCTATCGCCTTGGATGGCAACTGGTCTACTGCAGAAAGAAATGGCAACCTACTGCGGGGAAAATCTGCCTCATTAGTCATTTATCGAAAGATACATGATCGCCTAAGCGTGTATCATGCATGGCACATAACTGACTGACCGTTCAATTGATGGTTCTTGAATGAACTTTGAAGACGGAAGCCAAAGTATGAATGTTGATAGCATTACTGAAAGGCCTGAATAGGGATGACACTAAAACGATTTTAACCCGTTCTCTTTCTACCCGAATAACTTTTTTTCAGTGATTCTTACGACAAATCAAGATGGCTAACCGTCTTATCTAAAAACACGGAAAAGAGAAACTCATTTAGTTTGGTGGTTTATTTAGATATTAAAATCCGCCATGCTAAGAACACTGAATCGAATCATCCTCATTTCTTTCGCATTCCGTTAGTAAGAATGAAGTTCCATCTGAACATCTTCTTTGCAAGCACTTTGGAACAGACTCCCGAGAGGTTGCTTCCCCGATACAATCTTAATCACTTTCAGTCTATAGTTAACCGATATCTTTCCTACATATCATTTTAAACTCCCTTTCTTACCTGCTCATATTCCGTGCAACAACCTCAGTAACCCTTTACCTTGAATGGCACATGGGCCTTGTATTGGGTGAACGATTAGTAAAAAAAACAACAAAAAAACAAATCTAAATTAAATTTTAACTTCGTATGATCTTTTATTCTTTTTTAATGCTTTTTTGGTGGAATAAAAGAAAAGATTACTAAACTGTTATATGATATCTCTCCTCCTGTATAGCATTGAGAACAACATTTGATTGAGCATTAAATAATACAATAATAAAAAACTTCGATTCGCTTTGAGGTTAAAATGCCTGCCAGTTCAAATATTTGTTGTCTCATTTATAAATCTGAATCAATTTCCAAATCATAAAGAAGCTAAAATGGCCGATTCACAGAAACATTGCATTTAAGCAAAATATTTTTTTCTGTAGCTCCTGTCCGAAATTATCATTTCCAATGGCGGGAGATTTACAGTAATTCAACAAATTATAAAATTTTGTGGCCTTTCTTTAATTTAATAGCTGTATATTAAAATGAATTTCATATTCCCAAACGATGTCAGAATGTTAATTCTATCTATCTATCTGAATAAAGTGTCGCTGCCGACACTTGAGTTTGAACATATATCGTCAGTGAACAAACACGAGCGATCCCATCATTGAATTAAGTAGACCACGTGACCATAAAGGAAACGCATAAGTAGAAAGTAGCGTGACGACCAAACGATCTCTATTTTTAGTCTTTTCTAAATACAATACGGATCACATTTCTATTCTATCTTCTGTTACTATTCGGTTCACCATTTCTACTCTATCCTCTAGTACTATATGGACCGCTATTCTTTACACTATTCACTATACTATTTCTCTATTACTATTCGGTGGTTACTATTCAAGCTAGTATTATCGAGCAAGTACTATTAGTGCGAGTGTTATTCGAAGGCGTCTGACACCAGTATTGTTCAACGGCGTTACTATAGTTGTATCTGCAATTACAAAGTCTCTACTACAACGAGTATTACAAAATTGACAACGAGTATTCGTTGACATCACATCTATCTATCTATCTATCTATCTATCTATCTATCTATCTATCTATCTATCTATCTCAGTCTGTTAA